ATCAGAAATCTGATTTTCTTATATATAAAATTAAAAATACATGAGATATGAATATTTATTACATGACAATATTTGCATATAGCCCTGGATATTCGTGTAATAAAGTTTAGTAAATATATAATTATTGCTAATCTTTAAAATTATACTGAGTGTGTGTTGAGTGATTGAACTTTACTAGTATGTTCTATGAGTAATAATAAGAAAGAAATATTACACATAAACACAAATTTAAAATAGGTTTATTAAAAAGTTATAATAAATATATTCAATATAAAATTAATAACAAGTTCATTGTTGATGTATTACGATATAAGTTAACGGAAGATTGCTTGGACCTTACTTTTTACCAACCAAGACCAACCACACACTTGTTTAACGTTTTTAAAAACGTTTTGTCAGTAGTTTGAGAAGAAGTTTGCTCTTTATATCACTAACGTATATAGTTTCGATTAGGTGACTGCCCGGCATGTTTTGTAAGAAAAACGTGAAAAAATGATTAGACGAACGTTATCATGAAAAGTAGATAGATTAGAAAAGACCAATTGTTTGGCTTTCGAGATCAATTTTACATCATTATCTATGGGGAACTGTGAAAATAATAATATACACCATATAACAGTCAATATGCAACAAGAATTGATAAAAAGAATCAATGATACATTCACTGAATTAAAGCAAGATAAATATGAAATTCGTAGAATGTCAAATTGAATTTTTCAAACTTAAATTACAAATGTAAGACAGCATTTTGAAATAGAAAATTAAATAAACTTTTTTTAATGTAACATAATAATAAAGCATTTCCGGACCTATGTTACGTAACATTTTTTTTATTTCTACTCATAGAACTACTGGTGATATTTAATCATTTAATTTTTTGGGCCGTTTTGTATATATGCATTAGAAAAATATTAAATTAGATTTGAATCTACAATCTAAGTAAAAAATTTAACTTTCTTACAGTTATTTAAATTAATATCTACATATACGTACACATATATACACATAACAAAACTTATAATAATAACAAATAAAGAAGAATAAAATCGTCACAAGTGTGTGTATTATCTTAATACTTTACATGCAAAAGAATCAATTAATTTTGTTTATAAAAAAAAACTTAAAACAGGTTGAACAGGTGACAAAAATTTCCAATTCCGAAATCGTTTTTTTACCAAACGTAGACGATTTTTGTAGAATACATACATTATTCTTTGCATCGCTTGTGTAGGTATACAAATGTTTTTATACGATTAAAATATACGTGCAATATATCTCAGATCGGTTGATTTTGTATATCGAAAATGAGAAAAAGCGGAACTTTGATATGAAGCAAATGTTGAATTGATGAGTTCTCAACACTAGATGCTATCAGATGATCAAAAAAATACGTGCGGTTTTTTATATTAAAAATAAAGCACTTGAAGAAATTTACGCAACATGTTTCATCCATCAAAGTAAGTACTTTTATAATTTATAATCTTTTTCCAACGAGAGTTTGTTAATTCCACTTGTATACGATACTTTAGAAATACAAAGCGACATTCTTTTCTCTGTATAAAGTAGTATTTTTATTTTAATAAATTTAAAAGAGTTTATTTTTTTAATTGACTTGAAACAAATTTTTTATTTCTTAAAAGAGAGAATTCTAAAAAATAGCATTTAAATTTATCGAGTAAGATATTCAGTTAAAAAAGTTGAACTTCTAAATTAATATCCGTAGTTAAGCGAAAGCGTGCGACTTTTATTATATTACATTTGATGTATATATATATATATATATATATGTATGCACTTACGTCATCTTTAAAGCCTATCAATGATCGATGCCACCATTTGCGTCCTGATAGCGTTCCCGATATATTCGCGAGGTTTCTTCTTGAAAATCGTAGGAAATTGCCTTGTCGAACGATCGAGCTTATTTTCGTCTTGTGAAAAAAATAAAGACAAAAAAGAAGAGAAACAAAAAAAGGAAGTAAAGTAAGAAAATGCGCGTCGATAAAAGGAAGAGGATCGACAGGGAGAAATGGGTAAAGCGCGAACGAAACATGGACGAAGAATGACAAAGAAAGAGCAAAAGCAAGGATGGAAAAAGGGGTGCCAGGCGACCAACGAGGGTGAAAATGATAGAGTATACGGGAATGAGAGGAGGAGGAGGATGTAGACCGCGATTTAGCGGATTTTCAACGTAGCTGCACATCTCGCGGAGGGGTCTGCGCTATTCTTGACACGACGGAACCGCCCCTCGAAGCCACGCAACCAATAGCGAAGCTATCCCTAATGCGCGAGCTCGGGGGTTGCTACCCCTCTGTCACTCTCTCATCCTCCCAAAACGAAGCGACGATTCTTCTCGCAGTGCCCTCGCCATGTTCGCGCCGAACGAGCGGCCTATATTGCTGCGACAGTGAAGATCTCTATCTAAAATCACTAAGTAGAATTCTCTTCGCCTCGTGAGCGGTCGTCATTGCGAAAGCGGTCAAGAAACGGCCGCTCGCCATGGCGGGTCCGTACTTGTCGCCCCTCGGACCGCAGGCTGATCTGCTTACCGAGTACATGTTCGGCCGTCGTCGTCAGGTCAGTGTACGTTTCCTTTAATTTCATATTTGTTACTGTGAAAAGTTACTCATGTTTTATTGCTTTTAATCAAGTGCTTTTTCTTTGTCACTCGGGTATCCGATATATTTCGGATTTGGACATTTATAAATTTTCCAAGTAAAATTATGAACAAAAAATTATATTTTGTTTATTGAAAAAGCTGAAATATCTTATATTCTATATGAGAACATTATTCCAATATGCCACTGCATTTTAGCATGCCATATAGAAAAGACAAATTAGATATTGTTCCAATCTGTTTTTCTTACAAAAAAAATTAATATTAAATAATTATGCTAACTAAAAATAATATATCATACTCACTATAAAATTTAATTTTTTTATTATTGTGCTGCAACATTAAGAATATTGTATTAGATATATAAACTAAAAAAATTTATGTAAAAACTAAAGAAAATAGAATACAAAAGACGTAGTATTAGTTTTTATGCTTATTTGCAGATTTTGTTTTATAATTTTGTAGCAGCATGTCTCTTTCGATGTCCATTCTATGTAATTCGTGTTGAATAAACGTGAATTGTGGCTTGCTCCAAACCGTAAATATTTTTCTCACTTCTGCATTTTTTTTTAATTCATTAACAAGAATAGTGATAATAATTATAGAAGATTTCTTAAATTAATGTATTAATTATATAAATTGAATGTATATGTTAAAAAGTTAATATTATTATAGATTTATACAAAATATAGTATGCATTCGTAATAACGGCACAACGCCGATATATAATGTGATTAGTATAAAGATAACGCTGTGATTAAGAGCTATTTAACAAGCCGATTGAGTACAACATATACGATAATACTTTTGTATGTATTTGCATGGCACATATAACAGCTGGATTCTTATGACTTTTTCAAGCAGAGACGCAATCGGACTACATTTACGCCGCAACAACTTCAGGAATTGGAATCTCTCTTCCAGAAGACACATTATCCTGACGTTTTTCTCAGAGAAGAAGTCGCACTTCGGATATCACTCTCGGAAGCACGTGTTCAGGTAATCTTTGCGATTACTTGATTGCTTATCGCTTAGTTTTCTAACTAATGCTTTTCCATTTTCCTTTGCAAAAATTTATTTGATAATGTAATCGTGAAAATTTTTTTCTAATATATTGTTAATTGCAAACATGGCATTTTATATTTGATTAGAATACAAAATATGGTATTAAAAAACTACAAACGTCAATTTAAAGAAAAGTATAAATTATAAATGTAAGACGAAACTTTTTTGTTTAATAAGAAATTTTAATCAAGCAAAAAATATTAAAATTTAAAATTTATTTTAAATTAATTAGAAATATTTAATTAATCTTCTTTAAAAAGAGTTTTAAATCAATCAAAATCACTTTAATTTACAGTATCTTCAGATTTATAATAAATTTAGACATTCTTGTATAATATCACTATTTAATATAAAAGTCTTTTGAAAAATTATCTGAGATAAAAGTTAATGCTCACCTTTACTTTCTTAGCAATCATCTGAGATAAAAGTTAATGCTCACCTTTACCTTCTTAGTATCTAAAGGGTTAAGAAAAGTTGTAACCTCAACATCTACGAAATGCGGGCTTTCAACAAATTACTTCATTCCTTAAAACCGTTCACTAATTAAAGCCTAAATAAACTGTAGAAAACATGTGCGGTTTATTTTCATTTGCTTTCCGTTAAAACCCGTTAAAGTTTGATTAATCCGCTAATGATTAATTTATCTCGGTAAATCTAATTTTCTGTTATTATCTCGTGTATTATATTAATTATTACATTAATATACATACATTATCAACAAAACTTGAGTATTTTATCTTCAAATATAAGTGAAAAAAAAACATGTGACATATATATTTACGCGAACTTTTTGTAGAAAAAGGATAGCCTTTTTCATTAAATTGCTTTTATTTAAACGAATAATTTTGTTGCCATGAAAAGAACAAAAAACTAATGGCAATACTTCATTAATTTAGATTTAAATTTAAGAAAGCGTGACTGTGAAACGTAAAGTTCGTAGTGATGTTAGGGTATAGGTTATTCAAATAAGTGACATGAATTTTTCTATCAATTAATTTTTTAGCAATTTCAAACACATTACAAAAATTGGAACAACAGCTTTCAATTAGGTTAAATCAAGACCGAGCAGATGTTTTGATTCACGAATGATATTAAGATACAAATAAAATTGGTTGATTCGCGATCCTATCACAAAGGCCCTGTACATCTGGCTGCAATAGTGGCTGTTACGCGAGGACTATTGTGCGAAAACAATTAGGCGAAACGCTGATGAAACGATGAGGCGAATCTGTACAACGAATACGAAGGGGCGTAGGAAATTCATCAGCTCACCAAGTAAATTCGATTAATGCTTTCGAAACTCCTCAGCCGCAAACCTTATTGGAATTTAAAGGGTAAACTATACTAATTGTGAATCCATAGTAATTGACGCTATGTAATCAGAATTGTTCAAATTTTATATAAAATGGTTTTACAAACAGAAAAATTTTATATCATTTAGCATCTATTATAAAATTAATAATGCATTAATCGAATATTTATCTTTAATCAGATAATTTTTGAAAACATTTGAAAACTTTTTATGTAAAAATGTTTTTACTGTCGCACGCGATGTTTATGTGTAATCACAATTACCGGTTACAATTCTATCAAACTAAAAAATGCTAAAAAATTTGACTGAAACGTTTCTGTAACATTATGCTTTATTAATTTGTAATAAATTTTTGCACTCCAACACCCGCGCTTTTGTTTTTATAACCTTTTTTTTCCTATTGATTGTTAAGAATTTGTTTTAAAAATCTATTAAAATCTGATCTCAAAGTCATGAGATCAATACAATTGGTCAAATATATAATTGTATATTATACAGTTTATAAAAATACTGTGTTTCTTTGGTTTAAATTACAATGTGCTTTTAAAATTCATCATCAAATCGGATCTGTATTTTTTACTGGGAGATACTTTAATATATCTGTCAGTAATATGATGTTATAACATTTACTATTTTTTCGCATTGGTAGGGGAGGGGGGAAAAGAGAAATGACAATGTTTGGCCAAGTGAGCGGTTCCTTCACAGGTGTGGTTTCAAAATAGACGGGCAAAATGGAGAAAGCAAGCTCGATTGCAGTTGCTGCAGGACGCGTGGAGAATGCGATGTTTGGGTTTAGGAAGCGCTACGCCATTGTTGCTCAGTCGACCACCCCCTGAAAGAACCACCGACGCATCCTCCTCTTCGCCGTCATCCTCATCGGCTTTCACAGATTCATCAACCGCGAGTGACAAATTGCCTGAGACCAGCGGTTCCGTGTCGGTTTGCAGAAATTTCAGAATTTTACCTCCACCGCCACCCGGGTAAGCGTGCCATCTGCAAAAAAAATATTAATTATATTGATATATCCTTTTTTAAAGGGTTCCAATCCTTAACTATAAGTTTCAAATAAAAATTTATAATTACAAATATATATTAAAAAATTATCCCTAATAGATTATATCATAGTTTTGATAACATTATTTCAAACTTTTAAAGAAATAATCTTTTTCAAGGTAGACAAAAAAATAAAAAAATCTAAATCTCCTAAAAATTGATATACTTATGAGAAACTACATATAAATATGGTACATCATAATATATTATAATTTAGTTTTTAATTAATTTAACTTTATTAATTGATATTATAATTTTTAATTACATTATACAGGGTGATTCAAAATAACCTGATGTTCTTGCAATGCCATATTCTTGAGCGAGTTCTGAGACGATTTTTTCTTTTATAAAATTTTGTCTGAAGCTTAATTTTTTCGAGTTCTAATTGAAAATAGTTTGCTACTTACGAGTCCGATACAACGGACAGGCAGGGACGGTGCAATGCGTCATGAGACGATAGTAAACACTTGACAGTCTCATTATACATTGCGCGTCCCTGCCTGCCCGTTGTACCGAACTCGTAAGTTGCTACCTATTTTCAATTATAACTCGAAAACTAAGCTTCGGACAAAATTTTGTAAAAGGAAAAATCGTCTCAGAATTCGCTCAAGAATATGGCATTGCAAGGACATCAAGTTATTTTGAATCACTCTGTATATGTATGTAAGGAACTGAAAATAAAAAGCACTTTCCGCAGACAAATTCTATTCAAAAAAATGTTGCGTCATTTAATTCATCAATTTGAAATACTTTAAACAATTTTCTAATACTATTTCACGTGCTGCTGTTGTGCATATTCTAGATATTCGGTACCATGCAACAAATCACCCAGCAGGATAAAATGTCAATGCGAAACGCCGCCAAGGATTTGTGCAAGTCCTGTGGATTGTTCTGGCGATGTTTTGGTGATGAGAGAACGACCGCAGGAGGCTGAGATTGATCTTACCCTTAAAGGTCATCATCACTCATCTGTCAAGCATTCGCAGGTCACCACGCTGTTCCATCTACCAAGCAATCCCCAGCAGGACATTGTACAGAACATGGACGAGCCTTTGGATGTCAGTCTGAATAGCGGCAAGAACAACTAAGAAGCTCGTTGATTTTAAGACAAATTAAATGGTGAAGATATTCTGCAATCGGCCACTTTTGACTCTTTTACTTACTTTCGACTCTTAAATATGTGGCATATTATTCCGTTGTAAGCATTTTAAAAATTTTTTAAACTAAAAGATAACGATAAAATTGTTGTAATTACAAAAAAAATGTAATCAATTTTATTTGTTAAGTATTGGTGCAGAAAGTTTCTATTTATTAACATTATTGCAGAACAAAAAAATTATTTTAAAAATTTATATTTCTTACATAAATAATAAAAGAATTGTAAAACTTAAGTGATAAATGTGCAATTGATTTTTATACGAGTATAGTTCAATTATATTTTAGTTGAGATTTCATGGACAAAATTATAAAACTGATAATGTAATATTTGCCAAAAATTACATATAAATTTATAACTCGCATAGTTATCTATTTTTTGTGCACAGTTTGTATCTATAAAAATTTCGATTAAATATTGAAAGAGGTGAACGAGCGAAATGGTAGAACGTGTTTTTTATAGTAGTTTAAAATTAATAATTAATAAAAAAAATTTGAAGAATAAACAATTACAACAATCTGTTAAGCATTACAGAGAGCATGGATTTTTTTTTAACTTAAGATATCACCATGCCTAATTATTTGTATGTAGACATGTTTACAAATACGGATCGAATCAACTTGAAATCTATTCGAATCTCCCATTTCGCGTCTACGTGTAAAACATGACGACTGATTGTGAGAATAGAAAGATTAGAAAGAAGCTTTTAAAAAAAAACTTTTAGTTATGGTACAAATATAAACGGTTATCATAGTAGTTACAGTTTTTGATAAGAAAAGCAAAGTGTTAACACTCTGTACATAGATCTAGCATATACAATTAATTTATATATAAATAAATATATAAATATATGAACACTAATTTAATATATATTTGTTAGAAATAAATATTAGTCGCTAAATATGTTTTTTACTTGTTCTACATCTAAGTCAAAGAACAAGTGATTCCTTAATTTTTGTGAGAATTATATATACAGGGTGTCCGATAATTGCTGAATCACCTCTCGGGTGCAGGTAGAGCGGGTTAAACCGAGTAGAAAAGTTCTCTATCGTTTTGCGATTTTGGTAATAATTAATGAGAAATTAATTAAAGAAGATCGGCTAATTTGCGCGAGTCTAAGCGCGCGGCGAGAAGAGACAGCCCGTTGTTACGTGGTCGCTAGGACGCAAGGATCTAGCGTTACACACCACTCGTATGTGCCGTTGTCATTCATAGAGCGCTTCTCCCAACGATTTATCGCGCGCCTAGTAACCAAATAACAGTGGGCTGTATCACCACGGGTCTCTTCTCGCCGCGCTCTTAAACTCGCGCGAATTGGCCGATATTTTTTAATTAATTCCTCATTAATTATTGCGAAAATCGCAAAATGATATATATATAGAGGACTTTTCTATTCGGTTTAAACTGCTCTACCTACACCCGAGAGGTGATTCAGCAATTATCGGACACCCTGTATATACAATTTATATACACAATACACATATAATCAAATATTTAAAACAAAGTGCAAAAATTTTGAAAAAATTAATTTTTTTCGATCTTATATATTTAGTCTACAATGTGGCATTGTAGATCATAAAAATTATAAAATTTTTAATTTAAAGTTTGTTCTTTAAACATGTCTTATAATTTGCTAAAGTAAAGGGATTGCTAAAATGTGAACAATTGGATTCTCTATGAAAGAATGTTTTTACCATTTTTTTGGATGAAACAATAGCTTATTGTTTAAATTTATATGTACTACATTTTTGCTAGATTTTAAATTTATTTTAATTTTCGCGATAATTAAAAATTTGTAAAAAATTTATCATTAATGTGAAATATACCTATCTATGTAAAAAAAAAACGTAAATATTAATCTTGGGAATTTACGAATTAATTATTAATAAAATCTCCCATACGATGAATTGATTGACGTAATTGATACGACTGAAGATTTTTTTAGTACAAATAGAATTATCTTTATAATTTTAACTGCACGCTTCTAATTTTATTATATTTATTTGTGACATTTTTGTCGCATCATCTAAGTTAGCATCACTTTTTCGGCTCTCAACTATCTGTAATATGTAATAATTTTGTTTTAAGCAGTCCCGTTAATCTACTATCACAATAATTTGTTTTTGAAAGTTTTGCAATTCATTTAACTGTTGTATGTTTTAAGTTTTAATGTTAAAAGAAACAGATTAATACTGCGTTCTTCGTTAAAAAGACAGCGCCTTCAATTTTACTTTTGAAATGCATCAATCAGATTCAATGGCTTACTTAATTGCATCATTTATAAAACAAATAAATTAAGTCATATTTGCGTTTTCTATGAGCAGCACGAGATAATCCGTTTTTTGTAATTCTAAACTCGCATAGAAGACAAAAAGGTTATGATCATCATCCACCTTTTATTGCCACATCCCACTAGACTTCGGTTGTAATTCTTATCCTTGAATGTTCCAATTTTAATAAATTTTCAATAATTTCTTACATTTAAGAGGTGAAAGGTAAATCTTAAATAAAAAGATCTTCATAAAATATTACATTTATTTTAAAATCCAGTTACTTTTTTTCAATCTTTTTCGTGCTTTTACTCGCTACACCAGTTTTAGTTTTCTTGGTCTTTTTCTTCAATCTGAAAAATGCGTCCGTTCGCAATTTGTTTCTTATCTGCCTTGCTTTACGCAGCTTAAAACGATCAAAATCGCTGAGTGCGGCACGCTAAAACAGAGAATGGTATCTTTTATTCAATGTAAAATTCCCTAAAATGTCATAATAGTCAAAATTAAGTTGGCATCAATAAAATCAATCGGTCCCTTTTATTAATAACATCTGTTCATGTTTTGTAAATAATAAGTGTGTGCTTAAAATTCCTTTTAAAAATAAATTTTTTAATTGTAAGAACTATAGTTGTTTTTTCAAGTTAAATAAATGCAACTTATTTATTATAAATAAGCTTTAATTATTAGTTACAATTGATGACTTCTTTCGTACCTTCTTTTTAGCTTCAACTTTTCTAGACCACATTGTTTGCTTCCATAGTTCATTAATATTAGCTGCTTCCCATGCTTTACGTACAACAGAAGTTGATCCAGAGAATGGGAAACGTAAACGAAATTTCGTCAAATGAAGCTCATTAAGCCTCATCTCACACCGAGGTACACTAGTTGATGGACCATCTACTAAAACCTGAAAAAAACAAAAATTTTAAAACCAAATCCTATAACAATTTATTGTAAAAATTACAACTGGGTCATCAGATATAAGCTAGCATCAGTAAACATCAGCCGGCATTTCCTATCAATATAAATGGTTCATCATTTAAATCATGTTTAATAAGAAGATAATAAATACATGTATAAATATTTTTTTTTGTTTAATTGAAATATTATGTCTTCTGTTCTCTACATTAATGTTAATTTTTGTAATAATTAAAAAGATTTGAGTAAAAAGAAATATTCTCCTACCCGATTCTGGTCGATGATATCAACAATAGTAACCAATTTGCCCTGGTAAGGACCATCGCTTACATAGGCCACACGGCCCGACTGCACAAATCTCTGGAACGGCTGTTAAGGAGAAATTCAAAAGGTTTTCGGTTTTATGCCTCAAGTGTCTAATTCAAAATTATTTATTGCGTAAAAAGAAATAACAGTATTGTACTACATTGCATATTTGTAAAAATGCAACAAATATTCAAAATGAAAATCCAAGACACGCCATGTGATCAATAACGTTCGCTTTTAACAAGGTTAAGTTCGTAAGAATCTGCAATCCGTAATAATCCGAGATTTTCGCATTGTTAAAAACAGCAAATATAATCGTGTAAAAGAAGTAAAATCTATAGAAAATCAATTCGAGATTACTATACTAGTTTTTATATAACAATTATTCGTCAACTTAATAACCACAATTCACTTACCATGATCTTCCGGAAGTGAAAGAACCACGCAAGAACCTTAACAATAGAAAATCGATAGAGTGCGAATGTTTCACAATGGTTTCATTCAGTAGACTGCAGCGCCGCGCAGCGCTCATAACGTTTCGAGTGAACGGATTTTGATCAACACAAGATTGATTAATAACGTCATTGCATCGTCTCTATCAATAAAAGACTTGAATTCATTGTAAAATAGTGATTAATTGATCCGGGATAGATGAAAATCGTTCACTTAATAAAGCTAGTGAATTAGTAAGCACTTGGATGTGATTGGTGAAATAATCTAGTAATAAAAACTTTGTCCGAGAACTCGGACCGATTTCGTACTCACTTTTGTCCGCAATACAAGTACTTTTAAATTCTATTGAGAAAATGTAGAACACCCTATATGACCGCGATTTGATTTCGTAATCTTTTTACGATTTTATTTATTGACCTATGAAAGGTTATATGCTTGTTCATTCGTTATCTGCACAAAAATACAGCTTATATAAATGTACAACAGTGACATCAACATTTATTAATCGTTGATATGTCGCAGAATTTCTGCAGTTCTATAGTAGGAGCGATTCAGAATTTATATATACAATGTCCGATAAAGGTAAGCTTATACTGTATACTTTTGAAGTTAATTGTTAAATAATTTCGATGTAATTTAATGCAAATTTAATAACTATAACGTAAAAAATATTGGATGATTTTTTCTCAAAAAAAAAAAAAATAAATACGTTAAATAATATCTTTTGTATAATCTAAAATGTAATATTACCGAACACAAATAAAAAACAAATATTATGTAATGAAATTTGTAGAAAGCAAAAGATTTGAATCTATTGTTCAGTCTTACAATTTTAATATAAATTGAAACATATGATTTTAATACATTTTTTGCAAGCTTCTGTATGATAATATTAGAAATATTCCAAAGGATGATTTATAAAAATTTATAAATCTGTAATAGGCAATGTATCACAGGATAAATCCAAAGATGGGATAGAAAACCAACCAGAAAACTTATCATTGGCATTTGATCCAACTGGTTAGATATATAGAGTAGATATACAGTTAGATGTATAATGATATATTCTAATTTTTAACAACAGTTATTAAAATTTAATAATTTTGTAGAACATCAACATATACGATATAATCCATTAAAAGGAGAATGGGTACTAGTATCACCACATCGTATGAAACGACCCTGGGGAGGACAAATAGAACCTAGTACAGATGAAGAACTTTCAGATTATGATCCTAAAAATCCACTTTGTCCAGGCAATGTCAGAGCTAATGGAGAAGTTAGTTGATTGCTTATGTTTTACTTACATAATACACAAATAATGTTTTACTGTTTTAATTTTTTGAAATAGTAGAATATTTTTTTAATTCTATGTGATAAAATATTTTGCTATCCTCTTTTAAAATTATTTTAGTGTTATGCTATTGCCTATATTTCTATTTATATTAATATATTATGTTTTATTAATAATTTAAAAAATCCAATATTTAATGTAATATTGAAAATTTTACAGGACTGTTTTTTCTCATTCTATTACTACACATTAGATCATTCAAGATTGTCATTTTATGCTATTACATGTTACAGATTACTCCAATGTACCAAAACACATTTTCATTTGTGAATGATTTTCCTGCTTTATTGGAGTCTGTGCCAAATCCACCAAAATTGGATGATGAATTATTTCAAATGGCGTCTGCCAAAGGTACTTGCAAAGTGATGTGCTTTCATCCAAAGTCAAATGTTACAATAGCATTGATGAAAATTCATGAAATCAAAGAAGTGGTGAAACAGTGAGTACACACGCATACACACATACTGTGTAGAGATATTGGTTATTGATTATTTGTGTGAAATAAGCATCATAAAATAAAATAGGTGGATCTTTGAGATGCTGGAGTTGGGCAAGAAATGGACTTGGGTTCAGATATTTGAAAATAGAGGTGCACTGATGGGTTGCAGCAATGCACATCCTCATTGCCAGATATGGGCCAGTTCGTTTTTACCGAATGAAGCTAGAATAAAAGATGAATATTTAAGTGACTATTATAAACGAAACAAGAAACCTCTTCTCATTGACTATATGCAAAAAGAAGTTTTAAAGAAGGTTAGAATTATTGTAAATAATCCAGCATTTTGGGGTATGATATCAATAAGAGCAACAGTTTATCTTTATGTATTCAGAATCATTCATTTAATGCAATTTTAGCTTAAATTTCTACATGGATTTACAGGAGCGTATTGTAATTGAGAATCGAGATTGGATAGCTATAGTACCATTTTGGGCTGTTTGGCCTTATGAAACTATGGTACTACCAAAAAAGCAAGTAACTAGAATGCAAGATTTGTCAGATAGTCAACAAGAATCTCTATCTGTCATTATAAAAAGATTGTGTACGAAATATGATAATCTGTTTCAATGCTCTTTTCCATATTCGATGGGGTGGCATGGTAAGGGATAATCATCATCAAATATTCATTTATTTATTATTCACATATTATTTTAATCTATTATATGTGCATATGTACATAAAATTCATAATTATTAATTTATCGATCTACAATTAAAGGTGCTCCAACCGGCACACATATTAACGATGATTATCCATATTGGACATTCCACGGGATATATTTGCCACCTTTATTACGATCTGCTACCATAAAGAAACATATGGTAGGCTATGAGCTTTTAGCTCAGTCACAAAGAGATTTGACACCGGAACAAGCAGCAGAAAAATTAAGAAGTTTACCAGAGTTTCACTACAAATACCCGGAAACTAGTTTAACTGCTGAGGAGATAGAAAAATATTCCAATTAAATATATTGTATATATTGTATATGTCCCAGACTTGTGTATTACTCGTAATAACAAATTTCTGAGATTTGTGGAGACAAAAATCTTATTATTTTAAGATGTAATATATATATATAATATTGAAATGTAATATACTTGTCGATAATGCAATAATCTTTAAATAGAAAATGTTCAAAGTCAAAAATATATTTATTTACAAAGATGTTACATTAACAAAAATTACATTCTTTTCCTTCCTCATTTTCCTTTTCATTCTTATCCTTTATAATTTCAATATCTAGGAAATGTTGAATCAATTTTCTTACTCCAAGCATGTATACCTCCAATTATGTCTTTTATTCTTAAGGTATCTTCAGCAAGTAACGTTTTCAAATATTGCACAGCCTTTTGCGAATCATTACCCCGTCTACAGAGAAGATACACTGAAAAAATAAATACAGCATAAACATTCTTATCTATTATTAATTACAATTAATCTGATAGCAGGAAAATATTATGTGATATTGTAAATATATTAATATATCTTACTGTCTGTTGGACCATGTATATGCCTTTTCTCAATCTTCTTTATGTTATCTCTTATTAATTTTAAGCTCCGGTCCTTGTGAAGTTGCGTAAAAGGAATATTAATCGAATGCTGCAAGTGACAAATTTGATATTCTTCAGGTGAACGTACATCGATCAATATATGAGATTTTAAATCATCTTTTATGATTTGATTATATTCTTCGACTGATATTCTTTCCTCTTTCTTCAGTAAATCCAAATTAATCTCTTTGTCATTCGCCTTTGCACCACAAAATTCTTCATAATCAATTAATTTACATATAATACGATGTTCTCCACAAATCGCACAATCTGCATTTTTTGGACGCAAACATACATTGTGGAATTTTGTTTTTATTCCATCAAATAACAAAAGTCGTCCGGAAAGTACATCGGGGATATTAAGTATTATTTTTAATGTTTCCAATGCTTGCAGTACGCCAATTGTTCCAACAGCTGACATCCAACAATGAGAATTTAAATAAAATAATCATCAACATATGAATTAAAAAAATATATAAAAATTGAAAGAGAGGATTTTACCTGCACCAAGAACACCTCCATCTCCACAATTTGTTACAGTTTCTGGTGGTGGAGGCTCAGGAAATATACATCTGTAGCAAGGGCCCTTATAATTAAATACCGACAAATGTCCTTCAAATCGCAGAGCTGATCCAGAGACTAACGGTTTCCCACTCAAGACACATGCATCATTTAACAAATAACGAGTGGCTACATTGTCCGTAGCATCTATTACAACATCATAATTCTTTATGATATCCAAAGCGTTCTCACTATCTAGCTGGATTTTATACGGAGTGACTTTGATATAACTATTTAACCTAAGAGCAAAATTACAAAATAAAAATTAATTTTTCCAATTAAGATAATTGAATTAAGAAAAATTTAATCATTATAAATAATAAAATGGATGAATAATGCATGCAGATAGTGTATCACCAACCGTGATTCTATTAAATTACAAATTCTTTAATTTTAACTATAAAAAATTTTACAATTAGATTTTAATATATCTACATTTATATTTGAAAATTTTTTACTTTTAAAATCAACTCTTGATATTTTAACAACTTAAGATTTATAACATTATCACAAATTTCTGTTAAAAATTATTTTCAAAAGTACTTAATTTTAATCAATACACAATCAATTTATAATGCTACTATACCGATTAATACTTTCTGCTGCTGCAGTCACTTTGGCAGTACCAACACTGGTTTCTGTGTATAATAATTGCCTATGAAGATTGTTTATTTCAACATTATCATAATCAACTATGCCAATATGACCAAGCCCAGCACATGCCAAATACAATGCTGCAGGACAACCAAGACCACCAGCTCCTACGATAAGCACAGAACTATCCTTTATCGTTTTTTGACCTAAAACCAGAACGAGAAAATATTACATGTTATTTCTTTTCACACATAACATGTTATTAAAATTTGTATATATACTATACCTTGCACACCAATTTCTGTCAAAAGAAGCTGACGGCTATATCTGTTAATCTCATCATTATTCAAACCATATTCCTGCGTGATTTGTTTCTCGCGTCGCAAATGAATTAATTCAGTCTCTTTCCTATGTAATAATGCACGCAACTCTGTAATTTCTGCCAGCAATTCGTTCTCACGCGTATTTTTTGACATACTGCTCATATAAGTAGTATAAAAATAATTCGGATAAGAGAGAAAGATTTTTGTCTTTAAGTTAGTTCGAAAATTTTTTTGGAATTCTTTATATTTACATCTGCTTGCACCACTCGAGGATTATATCATAGATCTGTTCTTTATGCTGAATTGGCTGCACTAGTTCAGAGTTTATCTTTTTTCTTCCAATATAAAGGGAAAAAGATAAACTCTGAACTAGTGCAACCAATTCAGCTATAAAAAACAGACCTATTGCGTCTGTCACCTGCATGATATCCAATGTCCAATAAAAGAATTTATTTTCTAGAGACATATATAAAGGTATATTTAACAGGATCTAAGTCACTTAGGTCATGCTGGATATACCTTTATATATGTCTCTAGAAAATAAATTTTTTTATTGGACGCTTGATGTCATGCAAGTGGCAGGCGTAATACGAACTTACCTGTACAATGAATCAGTCAAGTATGGAGTGGTTATGCGTGTTCACCGTTCACTGATGACAGTTCTTTGACATTTCTTCGAGATTACTGTAATGATAAACACAAAAGCATGATTGGCACTGCGAGACTTCGATGTGCTTTATACCCGGGTGTCTAAGGTGAATCATCGAAATATAATGTTTTCTTTATTAAACGGGATAAATTTTCTGCAAGGAAGATCGTTACTATTGTAACAAATTATTTTTAGAGAGAAGAATTGAAATTTTTGTTGTATGCAAATAAACGCATAAATACCATATAAATAATTTATTATAGAATTTGTGTTTCTTAAATATACATTTATATCTCGGTTTCTTGTGATATTTATTTCTTAAATAAAATTTTCAATGACGTGTCAATCGATACATTGAAAAATATTAGAAAATAAAAATAGATAATAATACAATAAGTATCATTTTCAATTAAATTGTAATCAAATTACTTTGCAATTGTAAACGTATGCATAGGTTATGTTGATAAATAAGATAAATTAAAAATGAAGAAATTAGTATAATAAACTAGTAGTAGTAATAGTATAATAATTTTTTAGTAAATTTTTTATATTTGGTAGAAAATTAAATAATTGTATGCATTATACAGAATTAATAAATATAATACACCAATCTTTCTATTATTTTAGGAAAACGCGATGAATAATAGTTTGTGATTCAATAGTCCAGAGAAATAGCATCATCATGGAAGAGAATGAAGTATACAATGTTACAGTCCCATCTTTCTTTGATGGGTTTGAATCAGCATTTTGGAATTATTCCGATCATGTTATCTTGGATGATCTCAAAATGGACAGCAACTTTATATGGTTGTTGTGTTCATTAGTATCAGCCATATCCTGGATTGTTTATATTGCTTATTATAATAGTAGAGTAGCTGGTTACATAATAACAAAATTGTTAAATCGATTTATTATTAGAGATGGTTATGTTAAAGTTGGTAAGAACATGTAATTTTTATAATTAATTAATGTTGAATTTTTATGAATTGTTATTATATTTCTGTTTCAATCACAGGATCCTTCACATTAAGTGCTTTAAGTGGGAAGATAATGTTTAGGGATATAGTCTATATCACAACAGATTATAGCTTTAGAATTCAGGATGGCTGGCTTATATTTAGATGGTGGAGAAGTTATGTTCCTAAAGATGTATCGGAAGGTAAACATTTTGTCTAATATTTATTATAATTATCGCATAAGTTTTAATTATAACGATATATCGAGACTTTTTATATCAATTGCAGATCTCTCACATTCTGACACACGGCTGTCAGTCATGTTAAATGGCTTTGAGTTACATGTTTACAATCGCTGTCAACTTTATGCACAATTGGAGAAATCCTTCGGTCTTACACCACAAATGTTTCCCGACGAGGATAGCCACAATATAAACATAGACGATCGGGATGGAGAGTCTGTAAATAATGCAACTAACGAAACTCGTCATTCACAGATTAATGCGATGGACGTATCTCGTCATGTGGATAACATCAGAAAGAAGGAGGCTCACGTGATTGCGCGTACTTGGAGAGATTTGATACCAGTCATTAAACTTGATATTTGCACAGTTAGTAACGTTTCAACTCATATTCTCATTCTATCTACTTTGGATATGAACAAATTTTTAAAACTTGCAATTGGTGCATTATTTCCAGGGGAGACTAGTGTTCGGCAATAGACTAGTACCGACTACATTGTCGATAACTGTGGAGGAAGCGCATTTTGTATATTCTACGAAACCGGCAGCATCTAGGCACGATCATTTCATGCACTTTACCAAGTGCAAGGCAGAAAATTTCAAAGTTATTCTAGCGCCAAGCCCAAAGTAACACTGGGATGGTTGACGATCCACCTAGATATATGGGTGAAGGTTTTGTCGTTTTGAGTTCAAACAACATGGAAGTTTATTATTACATGGACGAATCGGGCGTCGTACCGGAGCATCCTGAAATGATACAATTGGTGAACGGGTGACATAGGTCGAGGCGATGCCTCCCATATGGGGGTATCGACATCA